ATGAGCAGAGCAATGCAGGCTGAATGTTTTAAAAATAATTTTAACCGAAATCGATCGAACATACTGATACAATAGGTTTCTGTCAAGAAACGCCTTCAAATTCGATCCAGCGTCACAAATTCCTCCAACCACAGTTGATAAATCAATATCATATTCTCGCATGATATCCGTGACAACATTTCCAACGCATGCTGCGGTGGCGGGACCCGGTGCATGTTTCATTCCGAGGAACTGAAAATAAATTTATGAAGAGCGTCTACATCACTGACAGCAACTAACAATCTTTTTCTTAGCATAATTCGAGTCAATGAAATAAACAAAAACCGCGTAAAGAGAGACATTCTCATATTTTCCGTCCCAGCCATCACATGTTATAAAACATCGATCGATGTATTGCAATTCTTTCTTCATGTCTCTGATGTACTTTTGCGAGTTTTCACTCAATCGTCTCTTGATCGAATCAGGTGACAGAACTTGGTATTCCGGGTTCAACAGGTGACAGAATTTTTGAAACCATTCGTTTTTAACGAAACGAAAAGCGACGTTACTCGTGCACAAAGCTCTGAAAGCGGCTTTATATTCAAACTGGTTTTCTATCTAGACTTACAAAATTAGACTTTCGTCTGTTTTCAGAGCCGTAGAAGCTGTGCGAATCATTGCACCTTGATTGACTGAACTTGACGAGCTTCTTTCTAGCTCAAACTTCTCTTTATCGTGAGCCGTTCGGACATGGTTTATCATGCCTGTCGTTGAACTCGAAAACTTCAGTGTTTTGCCACACTTCAAACATGCTACTGTTTTTTCGTCGGAACTTTTTCGGAAGAATCGCCAGACAACGGATTGTGCAGTTTTATCCGACATTTGAGCGTCTGAAACTGTAAAAACAAATTGAACTAGTAATTCCCGGAAATTGTATTGAAAAACGCAAAAAATTCGACAGAAAATGATGAAATTAAAAAAATCTCAACTTGTCCACGAGGACTACACGATTTTTATTCACGAGGACTACACGCTTTTTTTCTTCGTCGGTAACCGCCGATCGGTTGCCGATTTTCTCTCGGTAACCGAGGTGAATTCGGTAACCGATTACCGTCGGTTACCGATATTTCGGTTACCGAGAATTTTTTAATTTCGGTTACCGAGAGAAAATCGGTTGCCGCCGGTAATCGTTCGAATTTATGCCGCCGATATGATTTATTCTCGAGCATGTCGGCAGTAATTTTTTCGGTTTTTCCGATTTTATCGAGCGCTTCTACCGTCGACACGGTACTCTATTTATAAATATCATGTAGGGTTTTACTAGAAAAATAAGATCAAAAATTCGAAAACTGAAAATTTCGTAAAAAGTTAGTTTTTTCGAGTTTTGACTCAATTTTTCTGATGAAACCCTGGAGTATTTTTAGCGATGAAAAGATCAAAAATTTCCCATCGATCGGTAAAAAATCTTACGAGACTGCATCGAATAAAGCGGATTAGAAACGCGAAAAACTGAAAATTTCAGAAAATCCCTGTTTTTTTTGAAATTCGACCCAATTTTTCTGATAGAATCCTACATGGTTTTAATACCATTTGACATATCATTGTTTGATCTACGTTTCGAATTTTTCCTTACCTGCAGACCCAAAAATTCGTGGCTCATTGAGATCAGAAGGACAAAACTCATTTCGAATTCAGCAAAAAATGTTTTAGTCATCCGATCCAATTTATATCTATTTTTAACGAAACCGATCGAATTGAACCAATAATTACCCAATTTCTATTCCGAGAAAAACCTATTTTCTGTGTATAAAAATGGCTCCTCCCCCCTTATTATTGGTTTCATTATTCTTCTTCTCTCCTCAATTTTAACGATGTATGACTTCTAGCCGAGAGGCTCTCAACACAAAAAAAAAAACTATTTTTGTCCCTTGCCTCCATCCCCATGCCTCCATCTATCTTCCATTCGTAATTAAAGTTTAGGACCCATCCCCCATCCTGCTCATCCCTCCCTCTCCTTCATCCATATCTTCTTTTTCCCTTCTCAATCATCATCTATTTATTTTTAGAATTCTTCCCCTCCACTTAAGCTCTCCTTCTTTTCCGTTCTACACTCATTTTTTTTCTAGTTTTATTCTGAGCAATGCTATTATAGGTAGTACTAGTAGTAGCTTAAAATTGATTATAGCCGAAAAATGTTCTCGGAATAGGTCGAATTTTTTTGCTCTTGATCTGCTAATCAGGTGAACAAAATATAGCTCCGCCCCCTTCCGGTGGGGGAGGCTGTTTTCAGTTTTCAGTTTTATTATATATTTTTTCGTCCAACCGCCCCTCAAGAAGGAGAATTCGCCCGAAACATCTACGCCCACCGCCACCCTTTCTCTTTGTTGCACCCATGGCCTAGTGGTGAACGCTCTCGTCTTTTGATCTTTCGGACCCACGGGTTCAATTCCGGAGGGCACCAAAACGTTTTGTTTTTTCTCTTTTTTGTGCTCAACAAAGCAGAAAATGGCATAAACTCCAACTTTTTGAGTCCAAACCAAACCACCAATTTTCGGAAAAGAATCTAGTCTGCTCCACTCAAGTCTAAAAATAAACGGTTGTTGTTTTAGACATATTGCCAGTGGTAACCAGTAGAGTTTCACCTGTCCCCTCTCAACCTTTGCCTTCCGGTCCATTTTCTCGAGTGGCACACCACTCTTCCGGTGGCGAGAGATCATCTATAGGACTCTTTTGAGGAGCTGGGGCCTCGATTTTGAGACCCACTTGGGCTCATTTTTGGAAAAAAAACTGTTGTTTTTTTTTGAAAAATTAATTTGTAGAGCTCAAAAATCTCTACCGAATAGTATAAATATCATTTAGGTTTGTCACAGAAGTTGGGTCAAAAAAAGTGAAAAACCAAGAAAATCGAAATTTTGGTCCGAAAAATTTGGTTTTTCCAGTTTTTTGAGCAAATTTTCTAGAACAACTTACATGATTTTCATACCAATCGATAGAGAATTTTTGATCTACAAATCTGTTTCTAGAGACCCCATGAATTTTGAAAAATGAGCTCAAAACACCGTCTCGGATTTTAGACCCCTGGAACAAAAAATTTGGTTTTTTCAGTTTTGGAGCACATTTTCTCAACTAACCCTATATGATTTTTCCATCAGTCGATTGAGAATTTTTTGATCTACAATTTCATTTTTCAAGCTTCCCAGAATCTTGGAAGAAAAGGCACCCCGTTCCGATGATCATTTCTTATCCTCCATCCCCCCTCACAGTCATTTTTTAAAGGGACAGCTGCTTCGTCCCCACCCTCATCTCTCCAAGAAGACCACCGATACGAAAGTTTTGCGGGAAAAACGAGAGAGAGACCGCCTCTCTTCTTTTTTCTCTCTCTTTCTCTCTTGCTTCTCTCAGTTGGTTTTGCCCGCACACACACCACCAACACACCGCTCCTCGTTTTATTTGACTGACTCTCTCTCTCGTGTGTGTCTATTTTTAGAAAAAGTCTCTTATTGAGAAGAGGCGAGAGTGAGAGAGAACGAGAGAGAAAGAGAGAGAGAGAGAGAGAGAGAGAGAGAAGAGAGACACGCGCGCGCGCCTATTTTCTTTTCCCCCTACAGTACTACACTTCCGATCCGCTGCTGCTTTTTTTTTGGTGTCCCATTGCCGCCCCACTCTCTCTCATTTTTCATCTTTTCTACCGTCTCTATCATCTCTTATTCTGCCCTATACCGTACACTAAACGTCTTCCTATAGTTTCTGACGTCATCAGAAGGATATGAGTAAATCCCCTTGGAACGACGACGAAGAAGAATGGAGGCGTCGTCTATCGGCAGCGATTCGGAGAGAGGATGCCGGTGGATGTGAAGATGCTGAAGAGGAGGAAGAGGAAGAGGACGGCTTCGTTCTCCACCCCTTATGCCGTGCAGGACCTCTGCAGATGACTGTCAAATCATCAACGAATACCTCTCCAACAACAACAACCTCCTCATTTCAGTCGGCTCCACCCTCTCCATCGACTCCTGAGGAGGACATCTCCACCTCCTCCTCCTCCTACTCCTCAGGCGTTTTTCCATTAGTCCCATCACTGAATGTCACCACAACATCCATCACGACGGGACTAGTCAAAAAGCGACGAAGCTCCTCGTCTCCCGAAGACATTTGTCGCGAGAAAATTCCGCATCTCCTTCTGAAAACGTCTTCTGGAGTGGTGGTGCCACTCTCGACAAGATCCCAACGAGCACCTGCACTCCAGCTCCCCGCATCCGCTGCTATCCGAACGGCTCCTCCACCCGGGTTCGCGAACACATTCTCGGTGAGCTCTCTGCCACAAGATGACACAATGGAATCATCGGAGGATGACAACTATCTTCGGAGGCCCACGACGTCTACTTCAGCACCTGCAAGTCCACTTGATCATAGACAAGTAAGAAGGGTGAATCGTGGTGGTAATGGTGTTGTCCTTCCTGCGGTCTCGTCCGACCTTAATTTCACCGCCGAAATTTTTTGGCTCAAAACGCAGCTGTCCGATCATTGGTCCATGAAATGGTTGTTTCAGGTACTACTAACTTTCTGAATCTCAGTAGGGCGCGTTTTGCATCTGAAAATATCTAGTCAGCGAAAAAATCTGAAAATAATCAGCTGACTCAACTAGTAACTCTCAGAAAAAAGCAAGCAAAAATATTCTCATTTCCCGTACGCCCCAATGAATTTTTGATTGGTTTATATGTAGCTAAAAATAGAATATTTGGGGCTCCACTCCAAGGGGCTCAAGGGGCTCAGCTGAGAGGGGGGGATCAGAGGATCAGAGCCGGGGAAAATAAGAATAAATTGAAATAATCAGAAGAATCAGAAGGTATGTCGTCACAAAAAAAATGGGGGAAAAACAGTTTTATGAGGTAGGGACCGAGCTGGGGAAGTTTTTTTTCTGAAACTTGAAATTATGAAATTTTTTGTGTCGGGACCTTCTCCCCCCCCCCCCTTTCCGGAAACTCGCAGTCTCCTCTATGCCCTCTCCCCTTTGTTACCTTCGCGCCCTCGTGGCCTAGTGGTGAACGTTCTTGTTTTCCAAATTTCATCTCCCGGGTTCAATTCCACCCGGGGGCAAATCTCTTTTGCATTTTTTCTATCATCAAATAATTGATTTTCAAACGATTCCACATGGTCTAGCCTTCTTTTTCATCATCATCATCAATTGTAGACCACCATATCATTGATCATCTGTTGTTTCCCCAAAAGATCTCTGTAGTAGGCCTCATTCTGACGTGTAACCATACAACCCAAAAATAGAAACGAATTTGGAAAACAAAAAGAAAAACACACATAGTGAACACAACAGAATTAGTTGTTTCAACACATACACTTTTTTTCGGTTTTCCGTGGGAGTCCCTATTTAGACCCCCGCTTAGGAGGATGACTGTCAATTTCAACAATAATAATTATAAAGAAGTGAGTTTTTTGATTGGAATTATTGATTTTTTGTTTCCACATCAGTCATAAGGCTCAGCATCATCATCAACCAACAATACGTTTCCGGGGGGATTGCAATCCAAACAAAACTCTCTCTTTTCTCTCTCTCTCTCTCTCTCTCTCTCTCTCTCTTTCCATCATCACAATCTTATGTTTGTGTGTTGACACACACACAACGTTTTTCCATTTCTATTAACGGCCCTCCTCCAATCTCTCTATCTCGCGCACTAAGCGCTCTCCGAGCGCTCCAAAAGAAAGAGAGAGAGAGAGAGAGAGAGAGAGAGAGAGAGAGAGAGAGAGAGAATGGTTGAAAAGAAAAAGTGTTTTTTGTGAGCGGAAGAGCGAGTGAGAAATGGATTGGGTTAGGTTTGGCACCGGAACAATCAGAAAAATCAAAACTTGAAACCATGAAGGGGGAAAGGGGCGTGGCTCAAGGGTCTGAGAACTCTATGGGCCTGTAAGATAATTGGAAAAAAATTCAGTGATAGATCAAAAAAATTCCTATCGAGTGCTATCAAAATCATTCGATTCTGTTGGAAAACTGAGTCGAAAATGTATAAAAACCAAAAAAAAAACCAAATTTCGGACCTAAAATTCAGTTAACAGCGGTTTGATATTTGTATAAACAATGAAGAATTTTTCGATCTACCTCTTTATATTTTTTTCCACAGAATTCAAAACAACCTCCCTTCCAAAGTTGAAAAATTGAGTTAACCCAACCGATTTTCCAACTTTTTCCGAAAAATCAAAACTCACCTAAACCCGTCACAGATACCTGAAGGCTTACAAAGATCTCCTGAGAATTATAATTCAAATCTCAGAATCTCTTGTTCGCCTCAGTTATACTTTTGAGAGCAAGGAGAGGAAGAAATATTAGGATATAAAGAAATTAAGTGACGTTTTTCAACCGGAAGGCAGGCAAAGAAGCCTTCTTGATACATATGTAGCAATATAAATATCTATACAAATCCGAATTAAAAGTGAGAAAAGAGAAGAGCTGGATGGGACTGGAAGAGCAGGGACGCCACGCCTTCTTCTTCTAGCACGCGCTTCCAACCCTTTAATCCGAATCTCGAGGGCATCTATCGAGCATAATCCCCCCTCCCTCCTCCCTTCCTCCAATACAAAATGAGCAATAGACTACCCATCCACCAATCATCATCTGAAACTGATGATACTACTGAAAACTCTTCTGAAAACTATTATGGATCGTCTGAAGAGGATGAGGATCCACCTTCAAGTGACAACACTTCGGTCGAAGATTTTAGAATGGAGTATTTGAGGAGGAATTACTCTTTGACTAAAAGACCTGACTATTGTGTATGAAATGGGTTTATTTATGTGTGTAGATGTGTAGGCTCCGCGGCATTTCGTAACCAGACGTTTCGCAACTTTTCCAGTTGCGAAATGTCTGGTTCCAGAAAAACAAGAGAGCCGTAGTTATATGTGTATAGAAGGAGGATTACTTATGATGTAATGAAGAAAAACTTTTCAGAACCTCCATGATATTTATACTAATCAATAGAGAATCAAAAACTCTATCGATTGATAAAAAAATCGTAAAGGTTTGGTACAGAAAAATACGGTTAAAAACTTGAAAAATGATTTTACGGTCAAAACTTGAAAAAAAAACATCTCAAAAAATGGCTGAAAATCAGAAAAAAAAACTTTTCGGTTTTCCTGATTTTCGTCATTTTTACCTAACTTTTCTGGCTTCAACCTCTATGAAAATCGTATTAATCGATAGAAAATTGTTGTTTGTTTCAGAAAAATTTAACTGAAAATCAGAAAAAAAACCAAATTTTCTAAAAAACTTCTTTTTTTTCGACTTTTTTTTACCCTACTTCTTCTGTCACAACCCTATATGAAATCAATACCAATCGTTACGGAATTTCTTGATCTACCGCCATTTTTTGAAACTTTTCGTGAAAATTAAAAAAACCAGTTTTTGACCAAAAAAAACTCAAAAGTTTGACATCCTCGAAAACTGAGTATATCACATCACAAGTAATCCTTTTTTCAGCAACCTAAGTTACTTTATGTGTCAACTCCTCTTACATTTTTCTAATCATTCTCTAATTTCCAGAACACGGCAGCCCTGGATGACTTTGATCGGATAAAAACGCTGGGAACCGGCTCGTTCGGCCGAGTGATGCTTGTCAAGCATAAGCAGTCGGGCAACTATTATGCCATGAAAATTCTCGACAAACAAAAGGTACAGTATCCCATTGGCAATTAAAGGCGCACGTGAAGCGGCTTAGTAAAATCAAAAATAAATTTGAATTCCCTCCCGCCAAGGGATCGAATTTCAATTTGAATTCCCGCCGGGCCATTCCTTCAAAAATCAATAAATGTTTTGCAGGTAGTGAAACTCAAACAAGTGGAGCACACGCTGAACGAGAAACGCATCCTTCAAGCCATCGACTTTCCATTCTTGGTCAACATGACTTTCTCGTTCAAGGTATGAAATAGCATTGAGAATTGAGAGACGCAGAGAAATATTACTGGGGAGCAGTAGCAGTTAATCATTGAGCTATAGAAAACATAAATTCTGAGAAAAATTATATAAATACATGGAAAATTTTTTATTTTTTCCGAGAATACAAACAAACCTAATTATCCTTCCCGGTGTATGTTGTTAGCTCTGCAAAATAGGAGACTACAAACTACAAAGTGTCATATCTCGGTGGCCAAAAAAGATACAAAAAAGTTGTCAACTAATAAAATGTGTAAAATTTAATAGGGAACATTTTACTAGTTAACAATTTTTTGATAGCTTCACGGATAAAAAAGTTATGTAGGTTCAAAGAGCAGCATCTTTATCAGCACTGATAGATTGATGATACTTGTATTTTTTAGCATTTTTGACCGGATTTTTCGAAAAAAAAAGGAAGTTTTCGATTTTGTTTTCATTCTATGTCCTAATCCAAAAAGAGTTTTATATCAATCTGTAGAGTGAAAAATTCTCTATCGATTGGTATGAATCGCTCTGAATCGCTGAATCGCTCCGGTTCGCTCTGAAAAAACAATTTTTTTACCCGATTTTTTAAGCTTTTGGCGTACATTTTTCGAAGTAAACCTATATGAAATTTATACTTATCACTGAAAAATTCAATATTGAGGCGAAATTTGAAATTTTAAAATATAACTTCAAAAAATTATTTTTTCAGGACAACTCCAACCTGTACATGGTCCTGGAATTCATCTCGGGAGGAGAGATGTTCTCACATCTCCGCCGAATTGGACGCTTCTCCGAGCCACACTCTCGCTTCTACGCCGCTCAAATCGTGTTGGCTTTCGAGTATCTTCACTCTTTGGATTTGATCTACCGTGATCTTAAACCAGAGAATTTGTTGATCGATTCCACCGGATACTTGAAGGTATTTATGAGCAATGGGATTAGAGAGATTAGAATATATTGCATTTCTATAGTGTCCCTTTAATCTCCGTCTGCGTCTTAAAAAATAGAAATATTCTTCAGATCACCGATTTCGGATTCGCGAAACGCGTCAAGGGAAGAACGTGGACGTTGTGCGGAACTCCAGAATACTTGGCACCAGAGATCATTCTGTCCAAGGGATACAACAAGGCTGTCGATTGGTGGGCACTTGGAGTTTTGATCTACGAAATGGCCGCTGGTTATCCGCCATTCTTTGCCGATCAACCGATTCAGATTTATGAGAAGATCGTTTCTGGAAAGGTTTGTTTTGGTTTTAGAGGGGTTTTGGTTGTTTCTCTATTGAATTTTTTCTTTTTCTACTTTTATTTTCTTGACGGAAATCTGTAATGGCGTCTGAAAATTCTCAAAACAATTTCCAGCCTTTTTTGTCTCACTTATCTGGAACAACCATATGGGATATTTATACCAATCGATAGGGAATTTGAATCTCTACCTACAGATATCAATTTCATACGGATTGTTTCAAAAAAATTGACTGAAAATCAGGAAAAATGGAAATTTGTTCTAGAAATTTCGGATTTCGGTCTTTTTACCAATTTTCTCTGAAACAAACCTACATGATATGTAAACCAATCGATAGATCAAAAAATTCTGTATCCATTGGTATGAAATGATATAAGGTTGCAACAGAAAAATTGGCTCAAAAACTGACAAAAATCTGAATTTTAGTGTATTTTTCGCATGGTTTTCACGATTTTGTCCCAAAATTTTCGGAACAACCCTACATGATTTTTATACAAATTGGTAGAGAATTTCAAGACCGATCGATTCGTATAAATATCATATAGGGGTTTTTCATGAAAAATGGGTTAAAAATCCCAAAAAAAAGGGAATTTTGTACGAAGCTTTCATTTTCTCTAATTTTCGTCTTTTCTTTACAAGTTACTCAGATCAAAACTTTGAAAAAATGCATACAAATCTATACAAAATTTGCCTGCTCTATATTTCCGTGTTTGACCACTCTGAAAAATGACTCCGAAAAAAGCAAAGATTTCAATTTTTCCAGGTCAAATTCCCATCCCACTTCTCGAATGAGCTGAAAGATCTGCTCAAGAACCTGCTCCAAGTGGACCTCACAAAACGATACGGTAACTTGAAGAACGGTGTGGCCGACATCAAAAATCACAAGTGGTTCGGAAGCACCGACTGGATCGCCATCTATCAGAGAAAGGTTCGT